TCAAATGCCACCTAGCTGTCTCTGGATAAGTCACGAAACTGTCTTGCCATCAACTTTCTATCCTATAAAATTGGGCTAATCATACTTAACCCTTGGAGTATTTGAAAGAAAATGGTAATAGTAAATGCTGTGATTGGCCACTTGGATCCCTTTAAAGGATGAAGCCCTTACTCCTCCAACTGTTGAAGGCTGGCAGCTGACTCTTGCTTTTTGATATGCCTCAGTTGCAGAGAGCTACTTATCCCAGGTCCTGCTCCATTCCCGGCATCACACGCCCAATGACTGGCACACTACAGAAAAGCTCCGCCTCTAGGCTCCAGCTAAGCACAATTCTGAGGAGCTGTTTGAGTTTTAGGCTCTCTATGAGGTCAGTTGAGGCCTTTTACAGAACTGCATTGCAGCCCAACCTCTCCATGTGCCCACTCTGCTTCCTGTTCCTTTTTTCCCTAGACGTTAATACCAAGAGAATCCTCTAATAAATTTCCCGCATATTAATCTTTCTCATAGAGTCAGCTTCCCTGGGAATCTAGAAACAGTAGAAGCTAGTACAAGGAATCTTGAACAAGTTAATGGAAATACATATCATGTGAAAACTATGCATAGATTTCAAATTTTTTTGCACCAAAATAAACTGATCTTTTAATTCTATCTTTCCACAACTTTTTGAAGTTCTCTCATATATGCTAAATGAAATGTTGGGTCTGGCAGCCAGAGAGAGGCAAGAGTTCACAGGAACACATGGCTGTTTCTCCCAATCCAAGAAATGGGCTCTTTTATGAACTCTGGGAGTCCCAGTGGAAGTATTTTCTGTTAAATATTTGCAGATGAAGATCAGGGAAGGAGTTACGTAGGGACCTACAGACTTAGCTCTGTTCCAATGAGTTTAGTGTCAGAGTTAACTATGGAATCAGACAGCCATGAGTTCAGATGCTAACTCTACCATTTAGCAGGCACATGACCTTTGACAAGCCATATCTCCTGGCCTTGATCTCTACCTTGACAAAATACTTACCTTTTAGGGTTGCTATGAGAATTAAAAGAGATAGAAGAGATCCAGCTCATAGCATGGGATTAATAAGTGCTTAATAAAAGGAGTTATTATTATATTGTGGTCAAAGGAGATTGATAACTTGATCTGAGGTAGAAAATGATGTCGAGATGTAGAGCTGAGTTATGATCACACAGGTCATCGTGAATATCTCTGTGATAGGTGCAGAGATGCCTGGCCCAGATCACCCTCCAAGGAAAGACTGTATAGTCCAGTTGTCAGCTGTCAGGGTTTCCTTCAACTACTGGGAGTCAGCTTGGCCTGTAAGCACACCCTTGCCTTTGCAATGGCTAATGAAATGGTGGAGACAAGGGTCCAACCATTTTAGCCCAACACAGCCACTGCTCCAGAGTCCCCCAGGTGCAGGGTTTAGCTGATTTTCCATGTCCCTTGGCTCAATCCCACTTCTACCTCTTCCCTTGCATTGATGTTGATCCCTCCTAAATAACCTTCACCCCAAACTCCGTCGCAGGGTGTTGCTTCAGAGAATCCAGCCTGTGACAAATTCTGAAAGCACAATTAAATGGTAACTGTGCAAATCCCGCCCCCCCCAAATGCCTCACTTCCTTTGTTCATCCTTTTATCTTTCAATCTTACCCCTTTGTCTATGTTTTATACTCTCCATATTCAGAGCATTGAGTTTTAATGGCCTGTTGTACACAGCTTGTCCACGAGCTGTCAGGTCAAGGCAGAAGCCTATTTAGACAAGTTGTCAGGTTGAACGAGAGAAGAAAAAAAAATCCTAAATCAATGTGTTTTCACATGCAATCACACGTGGGCTAATTTATCTGCAGCCACATTCTACCCTGCCAGTTTGGCATAAGGGTCCTTAGACGAGGGGGCTGCAAGTTGCCTGATTAACAGCGATGTTTATTGGGAGAAGGACAACGCAATTGTTTTATGGTAATTATCACCGTTTGAACCAGCGCACATGCTCGTGGGGAAGATTAAAGAAAAGGCTCTGTATAGATGATGAAGCGGCTTGAAACGCACACAGGCCAAAGAGCTGGAACTATTCAGAATACTAACATTTTCTACCTGGTATAAAGTCTCTGGGAGGCAGCAGATTGGCTAACTTGAAACAGCACTCGCACCTTATCCGTGGGACTGAATGCAAGTATGTTCAGTTTCTAGAGTTGGGAAAACAGCGGGGTAGATTACTAGGATGACTTGTTTAGAGATAACAGCCAAGTCCATCTCAAGGCTAAGAACATGGCTGGCCATTCTGAAGGTGCTGCGTTAGGCCATTAAACACGCTTCCTTACATTCCACATAAACAAAACAAACCCACAAAAATGAAAACAGAACACCAGAAAACACCACCCTAAAAAAAAAACAAAACAACACACACACACACACACATACACTATAAAATTTTTTTTTTTTTTTAGTTTTGCGGCTGTGATAGTTTTAAACTTGAAACATGCCACAGACTACAAAACACTTCCCAGGTGAACTGAAAACTCAATCTGGGGAAAACACAGGCTGTAGTGCATTCTTCTTTGATACTTGATAATTCTCTCTGCATCTTCGTCCATCCGCACTGTCATATCTGAGTTTAGGGCAAGGACAGAGTGAGATAAGTCTGTCACCGCAAGGCAAAACAGACAAGTGGAGAGCTGTAGAAATGGTTTGCAGACTGAAAATGGCTGTTTTAAAGGTTTGTGGTATATGATTAACTTAAAAGAATCTTGCTTAAATGGTTACGAGCAAATTCCTTCGGGTCTGCAGCTGTATGTGTGGCTCGAATTAGAAGCACAGTAATGGGGACTCTGACTTTTGGAGATCTTCCCTCTTCTACTACCGTCTTCTGCTTTTGAGTTAGATTTCCTTTACAGGCGACAATCATTAAATGATACCTCTCCTCGTGGCTGGAGCAGGAGAGGGCAAGGGCACGAACAGGGCCATTTCTGACAATCACTTTGTTAAGAAAGCCCACGCTCAGGAATCATAACACTTCTTTTTCCCCTAAACCAAGACGATAGATAAAAGTCTCGGCTTTCCGCAACTCCCACCCAATTGAAAAATGCTTGCCCCAGAACAGAACATGAAAAAGTGGAGCTGCTGAGAGCACTGGAAACAGATCCCACAGCCAGGCTTCTCCTTCGCTGCCACTCCCAGAAGGCCTTAGGCAGACAGGTTTTATCACTGAAAATGAAGACATTTGACTTGCGAATGTAAGGGCTTATTTTCCCCTTCGTAAGGCCATTGATAATTTTTGTGAAGGGAAGGAATGTCAGTTTTCCATTAAAAGATGATGTTTGAAGTAAACAAGGCATTGTCACTGATTCATAGAGGTGGACTTGGTAGGATGAAACTGGCAATGGCCTATGGAACTGGCTATCTCTTATGGTTTCACAGATAAATTGCTGTTTGTTGTTCTTTTTTAAATCAACAGCTGATTTTTCTTGATTTTCTAGAATTTTTCTAGAAAACACATTTTGGCCCCCATTTGTTTTTGCTCAAAATTCCAAAAGCCTCTCCGGTTTCACCCATTTTGCTGCAAATGGCAGGATTTCATTCTTCTTATGACTGAATAGTATTCCATTGTGTGTATTAAGTGAAATAAACCAGACACAGAAAGTCAAATACCACATGTTCTCCCTAACATGTGAGAGCTAAAAAGTAAAAAAAACACACACACACACACAAATTGGATACAGAATGGTGATTACTAGAGGGGCCGGGAGGCATATGAGGGATAGAGGGAATTTGGATTAAAAAATAATTGAAGCTTTTTTAGTATATTTGTGGCAAATATACTAATGAGATATGGTAATAAAAATAATTTTTAAAATATTTACTCATTTCATTTACTTGAAAGTCAGAGTTACAAGAAGATAGGGAGAGACAGAATGAGCGAGATCTTCCATCTGCTGGTTGACTCCCCAAATAGCCACAATAGCCAAAGCTCGGCCAGGCCATAGCCAGGATCCAAGAATTTCATCCAGGTCTCCTACGTGGGTGTCAGGAGTGCTTGGACCCTCCTCTGCTGCTTTCCCAGGTGCATTAGCAGGGAGCTGGATTGGAAGTAGAGCAACCAGGATTTGAACCTGTGCTTATATGGGATGCCAGTCTCACAGGTGGTGACTTAATCCACTGGACCACAATGCTGGTCCCTAAAATATTTTTTAAAATTACAGAAGGTTATATTTACTCACCAATTTATGTGGTATAGCCAGCAATTGTCAGGAACTGTGCTAGACACAGGTGACGGAAATCAAAAATACAGGCTTTTCTCTCCAATTACACAGTTTAATGGAGGAGTAGACAAAATAATGACTGAACGATGTAGGGCATTAAAAGTAAAGACTGATACAGAGTTCACTTTGTTTCAGACAATAGGTGCTCACATGTATAAAGTCAGTCATTTAATTCTCACGACGAGCCAGCCACATAGGGTAGCAGAGGCACAGAAATGTTCTTGGGTAACGATCATACAGCTAGTAATTGGCAGAGCCAGAATTCAAATGTAGGCCATCGGGTTCCCAGTGCGTGTTCTTCACCTTGACACTACAGTTGTAGCAGCCAGCTGCGGTTATGTGAGACTGATGTAGCCTTCGGATGAACAGAGTAGAGGGAAGCTCTCCAGATGAGCTGACACAACAGCCTTAAATATACTTCCACTGGCTGGGTTGGAATGAATGCACGTGGAAAGCCAAGCAGGAGGAAGATCAGAGAGCTGAGAGTAGCGTGCACGTGCGTGCGCATGCGCAAGAGAGAGAGCGTGAGAGAGAGTGATTCTGGGAAGAGTTCCCTGGAAGAAGGGCCCACTGTACTGTTCAATGCTGGTGGTTAAGGTACTTTTTCCATAGTCTTGGAGCCTTAAGATTCCCTGAGCCAGTAACAGGAAGTTTATGAAACAGGTTTCCAGGGTCAAGTAAGTTGGGGAAATGCAAAGATATAACAAATGCAAACAGGTGGTTTTTTTTTTTTCTGCTGAATTTGCAAGGGTCTTTAACATGCCCAGTACACTGTGAACCTCCAAGAGAATAGAAATTGACCACAATACATTTCGAACAGAAGGCCATATGAAGATCTCCCAGACCAAGAAAATACCAGCGAACAAAGCCTAGAAAATGCTGTCTTCAGGAGGCTTGGAAGTACTTAAGCTGCTTTTGAACTCGGATACCTGTTCTGCACCCTGGCCAGTTGGTGAGAGAAGCCCTGTTTTTGGCAGCTGGTAGTGGATTGTGGGTTTGTTGTTTGTGCCTTTTTCTCTGTTAGTGCTACTACTCTACCCAGTTACTTAGAACCTTTCCTTAGCTCCCGTTCCTCTGGTCTCCTGTTTCCCCCTAAAGGCTCTAGACTCCTCCCTTAGTGTACCTGCAAGGACCTGTGAAGTCATCCTGCTACTCCTGCAGGAGTCAACTTTCCTAGACTTGACCTGCAACCATGAGGAAGCTGTTAGCATGCAGGCTGGCTTGGCTTCTCTTGATTTCTCCCAATTGCAACTGCCCTGTCCCTCCTCCTCCCTCCCTTCCCATTCCCTCCCATCCTCCCCATACCCTCTTTCCTTCCTTCCACATTTATTATATGCATTCTATGGGAGCCATGGAATTATAGGCTTCGGCACGGCTATCCATTACTTAAAGCTCATGCCAAAGTCCTGACACAACTGGCCCAACTCAGATCACATGGCTACTCTCGCTGGAGAATAGAGGGGATGGAAGTATTTTTTGAATACTAAACCCCTGCATGGGGTGGGGGATCATTCTGACCCCTGGCTCCTCTGCCTTCTCCACCCTCCCCACATTTATAATACCCCAGGGACCAGCCCTCCAGGGTGTACCCCAGCTCTCTGTGACTCGTGGCTGCCCTGGTCCCCGCTCGCACTGTCTGCTGGGGGAAGCATCAGATAAGATTGAGTACTGCTGTAAGCTTCCAGCCTCCCTGAGAGTGCTCTGCAGATCCCAGTCGTGCACCAAACACTCTGGTTTTGTTTGCGAATTTCAGATGTTAATTATAAGGAAGAGAATTAGGCACATAAAACAAATTACACTGGCAGCGTTTGTTTCTCTTGTGCACCACAGGGCCCAGGCTCCCCTAAAGAGATGTGACTATGGATCATCGAGCTTCCCTGTATAGAGCCAATTGCTTCTAATGTGGCAGAAGCTTCCTTGTGTTGCTGGAGGATTAGCAACAGGTGTAGCATTTGACTTTGGCAAGCATCACCCTGCCAGGGACATGTGGTTAGGTCAAAGGTAGGAAGAGGAAGGAGGAGAGAGCAAGCCAGACATCTAAGGGTTTAGAGAGTTCATAATTTCCATTAGCTGCCTCTCCTCTGGCTGCCACAACCACACCAAACTGATGTTTTCTTAAATGATTTTGGTTTTGAAATTATATTTATTTGGGCTACAGAAAGATCTCCCATCCACTGATTTACTCTTCAAATGCCTGCAACACCTGGGGCTGGGCTTGGGGCCAAAGCTGAGTGCTGGAAAATCAAGCTCGATCTCCCACACAGGTGTCAGGGACCTAAATAATCAAGCCATCACCTGCTTTCTCCCAAGGTACGAATTAGTAGGAAGCTGGAATTGGGAGTGGGGCTGAGACTCGAACCCAGACACTCCCAGAAGGGATATAGGCATCCTCAGTGATGTCTGAATCATGGTGCCAGAAGTCGGCCTCCAAACAACTGTTAAATCCAGGAACAAACGGTGTATCTATGTCTTTTCTGTAAATGCAAGTCCGCAGCTGCCAGAGGATGCAGACAACAAATGCTGTCTTTTATCAGTGTGATATTAATGTCCCCAACAAAGAACAAGCATACACTCTACTGTGGGTCGAAAATGGCTTTTGGGCTAATTAGAAAACATTACTTAATGCTTTTCTTAATTAGGATTAATTACAAGACCCTAGTAAAGAAATAAGTCCATATGTAAGATTCTAAGAGCTCGCACTGTGATGTTAAATTTCCCTATGAGAGCTGGTGTCTATTCTATCATCCTCTCTAAACCGAAGGCCTTGCCACTTCAGAAGTACCTCTTGCAACCTATAGAATATGAGTGCCTAAACATTTCTGTGTTATTTGTGAACCTGAATCCTCCAACAGTACTGAGATCAGAGCAGGTGAGCTGCCTCATTGGCACACAGAAAGGAGAAAGGTGATACTGAGTCTATTGGATGTAGAGCAAGGATCTTATTTCTTGGGCTGACCAGCCACTGTATGGTTATGGGATCTGGAGCCTCAGTTCTCTCAGCTGTAAACTGAAGGAACTTTCTAGAGTTCTTTGAGCCCACTATTTTTCTAAGTCTCTCAGTCTGGAGATTCTGTCTCGAGATGGCTGTGAGGCACTAACACTGAAATAAAAAGTAAGCTTTTGAAATAAAGAGTGGACAGAAATGATCTTGCTAGCCTCCTTAAATTTGTTTAAGGATAGTCAACGTATTCATCTACAGAAACTGATGTTTTCAAAGGAGCAACAAGGAACTATTGAGTTAGGTCAAGTGCACAATTATTTTGAAAACAGCCAGTTACCAACTCATGACCAGATATTAGTTTGGATGACTCAAACTATGTTCTGCAAAACCATATGTTTGTTTGCATGTAGACACAGCCATCACTTGCTGCAAGAGTTTCCCAAAGGAGCGTTCTCTGATTTGTATGTGTGGCTGAGTTAGGAACACTATGGCAGGAGTCGAGGAGGAAGAGGGGGGGAGTCTATAGTGAAACAAGCTCTGAAAATGCTGAATCAAAGAAAGTTATATAATGTCTCTTTACAATAGGATCTTTAGAGAATTTATTACGCCAAGGGACTTTGTGACTTTTCTGGGACATATAGCACAGAATGTCTGATCTTATTTCACTTTAGACCCTTCTTTTATTGGCATGTCAACAATTTGTGGAAGAGCAGTATCTTGTATAATCAGTTTGAGACATAATATACTGGTAGGGTTTGAATGTTTTTACCCCTTCTAAAATTTGTGTGTTGAAACCTAATTGCTAAGGTGATCACATTAGGAGGTATGGCTTTTGGGGGAGGGCCCCACCCCCTTGAATGGCATTAGTGCCCTTGTTAAAGAGGCCCCAGAGAACCCCCTTTGCCCTTCCATCATGTCAGGACACATAGAAGTTGACATCTATTAGTCTTCACCAGACACTGAATCTGTCATCAACTTGATTTTGGACTTTCCATTCTCCAGAACTGTGAGAAATAAATTTCTGCTGCTTATAAATTACCCTGTCTAGGGTATTTTGTTATAGCAGCTCAAACAGACTTAGACATATGGGGTACAACTAGGATAGTTTATTTCACTACTGCAGCTAGAAGGCCTAGCAAAACAACATTAGGATGGACTTTGATACATTTTCTCAATGATAGAATTCAAAAAGTATATGAAAGAATTTGCCATTAAAAATCAGAATAATTAAGTTAGATTAAGCACAATCAATGATTTATTGTTAGTGGCAGTCACAAGACCCAATGACATTAAATAAATTTTATTTCTTGAAGAGAGGTCAAACCTATTTTGTTCTTAGAACATTTTCACATTGCATGATTTAGAAGGCTATAGATAAGATAGAAGGTCGTGTATAGTGATTTTATTTTTCCACATTAATAGTTACTAAATCAAATTCTACTAATCTAAACAAGGGATCCTATTTTCTTTGTGCTAAAAAAACCATTAGCAGGTAAATTTCTTAGTGTCTTGAAGGGAATTGTGGGTGTAAAGTTATTATTATTGATACGAGCTAGGTGTGAGACAGGCAAAGAAAATCTGCTTTATAAATGACCATTAAAAAGACTTCCTCTAGAGAAAAAAGATGAGCCCTGGAATGAACTTAGCAAGAAAATAAATAATGGTGCCAGAATCACAACTTCCAAGAATAAGGATATTTCTTATGTAGGTGGTATATAATTTTTCCCCATAGTCATGAGATATGCATGTCCAGCAACAGAAGAGATGCCTTGGAGAGATGTCTTAAGGTGAGTAAAAGATTCCATTCTGAATACAAAGAGTTTTTGTACTGATTTATTAGAAATACCAGACAAAACTCAATTTATTATTTTTGATTTTGGTTAACAATAATGTCTTTGTTCCTCTTTCTTTTTCCTTTTCCCATGTTGCTTAGCACCCATTATCAGTGATGTCAAAAGATGGCAGAAGGGAGAAAAAGAGGATTCAAAAAAAAAAAGCACAGAATAATTTCTCAGGGGGAGGACTTCTTGAATGCATTGTAATTTTGCTCTCAAGTAGGAATTGTAAACCTTCACGGAGTGAATCTTTGTCTCTCAGGGAGAGGAGATTTCCCTTCCCGGCTTGCTCAGGGCTCCAGTCTGCCTCACCCACGACCATCCCTCATCATAACTGTGACTGTTATGCTTCTAGTTGAAAAGACACCGGATTTATGCTGTACGGCATGTACAAATGGGACACCGGACTGTAAAGTTTGATTGATCGGACTCACAGGAGGCAGCCTGGATGCCACGTGAGGCGTGAGGCCTACGTGCCTTGGTCTCTGCAGCGGCGGCAGCACTGCTGGGGCTGGGCCGGGCCATTCAGCCGGGGTGACACAGGCCGGGGGCAGCTCACGCTGTTTGGGGCTATGCACCAACCGCGTGTGACAGACACCTTTGCCACCGGCTCCTGCTTCCCAGCAGTAGAATCTTAACGAGAAACGGTGGGAAAACAGCTCTGGAGAGGAGCCTGCAGAGGTGAGGCCTGCCTTGTATTTCATATTATAATGAAAGGATGGTTACACGCCGGCAGGATATTAAAACCATAAATATTAGAAAACATGAGTTCGCAAACACTGATTCCTCAGAGAAATCTTTTCTTACGCCCAGAGTAGGTGAGGGCCCTCTGTCATATAATGCCCTCCATTCCTTTTGTGTGGCGCTCACTGCCATTGTCATGAATTAGTCCGTTGGCTGAGGAATTATTTGTTGCGTCTTTGTCCTCAAATGCTTCATGTTAATTCCCTAAGTGTAAAGCGTCCTCTATGTTTCCCCCCCAGCACTCAGGGCAGAATATGATTATCATGCTGCCTTCCCCTCCCTCCTTCTCTTTCCCTTCTCTTCATGAATAATTTAGGCCTAAAGCCAGGGGGCGAGGCAGAACAAGAGGTGGCCATGGCACAAAGGGGAGGGGGTGTGGAGCCTCGGACCCGGATGTCAGAGCCTCGGCAGGGTGAGGAGGGCACCCACGCT